AGTCTCCGCTCTACGAGTCGCTGGTGTCGTGCATGTCCGACCTCGACGACGACAGTGTGGCCTTCCCTGACACGGAGGCCGAGCACGAGTATCAGCAGATCCCGGCGCTGGACCCGCTTGCCGACAAGGCCGCTCGGGCACCTCGGGACTCTCCGAGAAGCGACAAGAGCGGCGCCCCCAGCAAAAGACGAGACGCGTCCGGGTCCTCGAGCGACGGCCAGAAGGAGACGCAGCACATCGCGGCGTCCAAGCTCAACACGCTGGACGTGAAGCCGGACAAAAGCGCGAGTAAGGAAGGCAGCCGGAGCGAAGAGAGCCAGGTGTGCCACTGCCAGAGGAAGGCGCCGGAGCGAAGGCCCAGCTCAGCCAAGCTCTCGCCCGCCTCCAGGACGTCCGGCAGCGGCTCTTCCCAGTCCCTGTCTTCGCAGGACAACCACAAGAGTGCCATTTACATCTCCAACACCACGATCTGCCGCGACGACGGTGTGCAGGAATCGTCTGACTCGGATGACACTTACCAGGATATCAGCGACGCCCCGACCGTCATCCACGTCATTAGTCACAAGGAATCCAAAGACAGCGCAAAGAAACCTGAGGGCTCGAACGTGTCTAAAGAGAGGTCGAGCGCGAGCTTCTCCCCGGCGGATGGTCGCCGCCTCACACCGCGTTCCAACCACACCGCCAGCTCAGGCTCAACCTGCCTGAAGACGAGGGCGAACAGCGCAGAGAACCTGCCACACAGCAAAGCCCAAGGGCCATGTTACCCGCCGCTCACCATCGAGCTCTCGGAGAGGAAGGAGGACCCTACTTGGGGGCCAGACCCCGGAAAGGCGCGAGGAGGGAAATCCAGCAACACTTCCCTCTCCTCGACACCGCACATCATAACGACCCTCGACCCGCCCCTGAAACCGGCGACGAAGGCGCAGACGGAGTACGATTCCATGAGCGAAATACCCCCTCTGGTGGTCAACTTCGACGCTGAAGACTCCGACAGCAACAGCGAAACGTTCATCGAGATGGGGGCGTCGACTGTAGGCGGGAGCACCTCCATCTACCTGACGGAGGACGAGACGAGTTCCCTTTATTCTTCCGTGCCGGATCTATACTCCGTTGTGACCACAGACCCCGACTCCTTCGTGTATGTGTACAGGCCGCCCCCGCGTCGTCAGAGCCTCCTGCAGAAACGTCTTCAAGATTCAGCATTGGATTATAGGATTCCTGGATATATCATAGCAAGGTAAGTGTGCATAAAAATATCAGAACTGTGTGTGTGTGTGTGTGTGTGTGTGTGTGCGTGCGTGAGCGTGTGTGTGAGTGTGTGTGTGTGTGTGTGTGTGTGTGTGTGTGTGTGTGTGTGTGTGTGTGTGTGTGTGTGTGTGTGTGTGTGTGTGTGTGTGTGTGTGTGTGTGTGTGTGTGTGTGTGTGTACGTATATACGTACGTATGTGTGTGTGCGTGAATGTGAATGTTATTTTCATACATCCACGTATGTATGCTGTGTATCTGCATGATTACGTGGTGGCGTGTGCGTGTTTATGCAATGGAGATTTTTTTTCTCTCAAACAATGCGTTTCGACTCTTTTTCATACTTTAACGGCGTTTGATTTGTCATTGACAACGAAAATAATCAAACAAAAGACATTTTTTAACATGTTATTTGACAATTGTAGGACATAAGATAAAAAAATATCGGAATCAAAAGGTAGGGAAAGACAAAGTGGAAGAACAAAAGGCGTTAAAGGAAAACGAAGAAAAGTAAAGTAAAATATATATACAAAAATACACTTAAAAATGAGAACATATTCAAACAAAAAGGAAAGCCAAACAAAGCCAGGAAGTATATAAAACAGACACAGAATGAAACAAAAACACACACAGATGTACGCGCCCAAACGCACACAAAATCCTTTAGATCACACGCCCCCAAGAGGCGACCGCCACTTCGCACATGTTATCCGTCTCACACCGCCTACCCCCTCTTTTCTCCTCCTCTCCCCCGCCCCCGCCCTCTCCCCCACTCTCCCACACACGCTCCATTAGTTCCATAAGGATCACAGGTTCGTTCTGTCAGCTGGTAAATGGTTTGTGATGGTAGTTACTGATGCTTGCTGACACCGGCTGACGATCGCCTGGCCAGAGGCTATTGTAAACAAGCCACCTCAAGCGAGCGAATGGGGGGGGGGCGGTTATGCGGAGAGAAGCTCTTTGCAGTTCAGACGCGCATGCACAACGTACTCTCTCATTTACATACATACATACATGTATGTGTGTGTGTGTGTGTGTGTGTGTGTGTGTGTGTGTGTGTGTGTGTGTGTGTGTGTGTGTGTGTGTGTGTGTGTGTGTGTGTGTGTGTGTGTGCGTGTCTTTCGTTCTCTCTCTCTCTCTCTCTCTCTATATATATATATATATATATACATATATGCACACACACATATATATATATATATATATATATATATATATATATGTGTGTGTGTGTGTGTGTGTGTGTGTGTGTGTGT